TTATCCAAGTAAATGTATGTGAGGCTTAATTTCCATTACATTAAATTTAATAAATGTGCAGATTTACATAATTATCTGCTAAATATCCTTCTCCCCCCCCCCCCCCCCAAAAAAAAAAATTGCTTCCTTGTACATTTGTGAGCATTTTTTTTTTCATTAAATGATAAAAAAATTACATTGTTGAATTTTAATGTTATAAAAATTGAATTTTAGTAAATATTTTCGAAGGAAGAGGTTCTGCACAAAGTTTTCTGAAGAGCTGACGAGTGACATACCTTAAGATGGAACAAATGTTTGTGAACAAAGTAATGAAATACATTCTTTTCATTCTCTTTTCTTTATTCAAACAATGTTTTCATGCAAAGTTTAAAGGGTCAACATTTTATACTTTAAAATACTAGATAATAAACTTCGACAAAAAATACAAAATTTTTTAATCGGATCAAAATAGTTTTACCTTAGAAAATCCTGTTGTATTCCTGAGAATTTGTAGAATATTTCCCTGTCCTTGAACATAATTAACTACAAGACACAGTGAAATCAATAATACAACAATCGCTACTCTGGGCTCCATGCCTTCCCATTTGAGATTGTAAAGTTACACTTTACTTTCGAAAGTCATGCTTTATAATGCACAATTATATGCTATCATATATCATGACGGTAGCACAAAATGAAGTAAATCAAATCTATTTTGCATATAATTTAATATATGTCAAAAAATGAAACAGATTTTGTTAAATCAATCCAATATTGCACACAGAAATGTATTTCACAGAAATGTAAGATTGATAACATTTTATCAGCAGAACATTTTTTAAAATGGTTGACATCTTTGAAAACAATGCACCTGTTACAATTTTAAATTGTGTAAATTATGTTTGGACCGCAGCTTAATATTTCATTGTGTAACTCTATTCGTATATTACTCATAAGTTCGGTTTTAATTTCAGAATTGTACGCAGTGTATTGTTTGTCCGAGAGTACCTATAATGCATTGTTTTTCATGCTGGGTGATGTTTTTAAAGATATGCTGATGTTAAAAATATCATACTCAAATAAGTAATACTACTTAAGAATTAACCCAAGGTAAAGATTTGCTTTAAAGTAAAAAAAAAATCCAAAATATATGTTCAGATTTCAAATAATGGGAAGTTATTTTCAGCCGTTATACTAGTAATACATGTCTTGCAAGATATTTTGATGCAGTCTTCATAAGTGAAAAGATAATTTCCCTCAATATGTTGAGAGAAGAACTTTTCATAGATATTTATTGGACAATTTCTTTCTCTTAAAACTAATTATCTGGAATTACACTTTTCAGGTAATTGTTTTGAAATTATCAAAATAAAAAATAATGATCAAAATGTGAATAAATAGTCAAGGAATGTTTTAAAGTTTTTGTTCGAGTAGTTGGTGAGTGCAGACTTGTCACGTAGGCATATTTCATGAAGTGCGCTAGCTCTTCATAAAAAAATATGCCTACGTGCAAGTCTGTGTGATTCATACAACAATACTTTCAACTCTTAACCTAAAGACATTACCATTTTTTTTTTATTTCTCATGTTTGATAGCAGCTAAAATATACTCATTTTAGTTTTCTTGTTACATGTTAACTCTATGTAGCCCCGTTGTGATGCCTCATTAGCGCACGTGTCTCTGTGTACAGTAAAACTTGTTTAGAATGAACACGGATATTGCATCAGAAGTGAAAGTCACGGGTCTTTCGGATATGACCTTAAAAACCTAGGTCTCGTGTCAATAAAGAACCCTCACTGCTCAATGGCCCTGAGTGCCAAGTATAGGTCTAAATTTGAAGCCCCTCACCGGCATACGATGACGTCTTCATATGAGTGAAAAATTCTCAGGAGGGACGTAAAACAATAAACAATCAACCAATCAATCGAATTAATGTCACATTCTCGTAATAGAAATTAGCATTTTCGAACTGCAGTACAATGGAATACCCCTACGTTTTTAACATATAAAATGTTAAATCATAGATGTCTTTTTAAATTTTTATCTTAAGTTTCCAAAGTTGGTGTTTTAAGGGGAATTAATATGTATATGGCACGACGTTTCGACTACACAATTCTACCATAGGTCTTTATAAATTGTTAAAAATGTGTTTTTTCTTGATACCATGAAATTGAAATTTTAATGATTTCTTCTTAAAGATTAGTATTTAAAAAAAAAATATTGATTGATTAACCATACCCCTTTTATTTTTGTCGAAATGTAGCATCGAAAAGAAATAACATTGCTGAAGGAAACCACACTAAAGGTTAGGATGATGAAGTATGGTTTATTTTTCCTTCTATGAAAAGGAAAATTCCTCAGCATTTACAGTTGAAAGATTATAATTTTGCAGTGGGATGAATTTCTCATGATTATAGGTTTTAGAAGTTGACTCTTAAAAATTCCACCTTATGAATATACAGAGCAGTCAAACAGATAAAAAATACTATTATCATCCCAAGCTAAAAAGTCAAAATGTAAAGAAAGTACAAGTTACAGTAGATAAACTTCTCATGTCTACGTTTCTGCTAAGCACTATTTCTTGCAAAAGAACGAATTAAAAGACAGCTGCAGTTAGTAAGAAACCACAAAAATGCAAATGAGAATTGTTGTTCTTTTTCAACCACGAAAATATCAAAGTTCCACTAATTGATATGTGTGAATTATGTTTTAGTAAATTTAATAAAAATCAAATAATGTAAACAAATACTTTTAAAATGTATTTCGATGCCTCAATGCACATTGTTATACCCTTCAAAATATCATTCTATATATTTATTACTTATAAAAAGTCAAACAAATGTACTGTTTATTACATCGTTCTTACAATTTTACTATTGACCGGTCTTACATAAGAATTGTTAGACCGCAGCGTCACTTGCCTGTTACGTCACAAGTAATTAATTCCTAATATATATTTTAAATGTGTTTTTCCAGTAAGCCAAATGTTTGAATCGTTTTCGTATCAATTTTGTGTCTAGTCACGCGTAGAAATATACACAAAGAGTTAATATGTACATGTAAAACGAAAATTAAAATGAGTATATTTTAGTTGCTATCAAACATGTGAAATAAAAAAAATGGTAATGGCTTTAGAGTTAGTGTAAATTATTGATGTGTCAATCACACAGACTTGCACGTAGGCTTATTCATTATGAAGAGATAGCGCACTTCATGAAATATGCCTACGCAGCACTGTTAAGGCTTACTATGAGAAATCAACGGAAAATAGAAGTGCAAAAACGGGAATATTGTTTTTAAAACTGAATTTATTTTATTCAGCTGTGTTATTATCAATGAACTTAAATACGTATGGAAATAGCATTGTATAACCTACTTTGTACTGTATGAAGTTTGGTCCCATCGATGAACAGTCAAGTGAGAAATTCATAGTACGTGTACTGAACGAAGGTCATTTACAAATTTCAATACCACAAGGGCATACCCTATTTGGAATTGAAAATTCAAACCATTAATTGTTTCTGTCGACTTTGTACTTTCTGAAAAGTGCTGCTGCTTTGTATAGAATTCGCGTTTTAATAAATAAAATTTCAAGTACGTAGGCCCATGTCGAAATATGTATGACTTTTTCCAAATATTTTGTATACGTATAAAGTCACGCTCTCGATTTAAAGAAAGCAGCAGTACTTTTCAAGTTAAGGAACATATCCTTTATTTATAATTTAAAAAATGTTGAGATTTATTAGTGTATGCCCTTGCAAAAGAACGATTTAATGAGGCACCTCGATGTAAAATTTAACTAACCTGAACATAAAAACACGACAAAATCATTTAAATACATTCTCTCGATAGTTAATGAATAATCGCACTAAACAAAAGATATACCTTGGTGTTAATAGCCTATTAAAAACCTGTAAATGATATTCTGTTTTATAATAAAACACATTTTTCATTGATAACAAATTCCTCAATCTGCCTTTCACAGCACATGAAATACGTCATTATTACCAAAATGACGCCATGATTGTCAAGTTCATCGAGATCAGTGATTTGTTTATAACTAGCCGCATGGGATTTAACTCACAATTTTTTTAATGCTTTGATAGTTTTATTGTTTATTATGCTAATACAGTTTAAAGCTGCAATATTTTCATTTTCTTGTATTATGAGTAATACATCAAAGTCATATTTTTGTGTGACGTCACAGTTAAATTTTCCCGTACAAATTTAGGCCCCGCCTCCTTTTTTCAGCCTTAACAATGCTGCGTACGTGACAAGTCTGCACTCACTTACTACTCGTACAAAACCTTAAAACACTCTTTGACTATTTATTCACAATTTGAATCTTTGTTATTTTGATATATTCAAAACAATAACTGAAAAGTTTAATTCCAGATAATTAGTTTTAAAAGAAAGAAATTGTTCAATAAATGTCTATGAAAAGTTTCTCTTCCAACATATTGAGGGAAATTATCTTTTCACTTTTGAACACTGCATCTTAATATCTTGCAGGACATGTCTTATAACGGTTGAAAATAACTTTCCATTATTTGAAATCAGAACATATGTTTTGGTATGTTTTTTTACTATAAAGCAAATCTTTACCTTGAGTTAATTCTGAAGGAGTATAACTCATTTGAGTATGATATTTTTGATATCAGCATATCTTTAAAAAACATCATCCATTATGAAAAAAATGTATTATAGGTACTATCGGACAACCAATACACTGCGTACAATTCGGAAATTAAAACCGAACTTATGAGTAATATACGAGACGTGTTACACAATGATATAATAAACTGTAACAGGTGTATTGTTTTCAGAGATGTCAACCATTTTAAAAAATGTTGCGCTGATAAAATGTTATCAATCTTACATTTATGTAAAATGCATTTCTGTGAAAAACATTTCAGTATGCAATATTTGATGGATGGATTTACAAAAATCTGTTTCATTTTATGACATATATTAAACTATATGCAAAATATATTTGATTTACTTCATTTTGTTCTATCGTCATGATATACGATAGCATATAATTGTGCATTATAAAGCATAACTTTCGAAAGTAAAGTGTAACTTTACAATTTCAAATGCGAAGGCATGAAGCCAAGAGTAGCAATTGTTGTATTATTGATTTCACTGTGTCTTGTACTTAGTCATGTTCAAGGACAGGGAAATATTCTACAAATTCTCAGGAATACAACAGGGTTTTCTAAGGTAAAACTTCTTATTTGGATCCCAGTGAAATGTTTTGTATTTTTTGTCAAAATTAATTATCTAATATTTTAAACTTGATAATTGTTGACTGTTTAAATTTTGCATGAAAACATTGCTTGAATAAAGTAAAGAGAATTAAAAGAATGTATTTCAATACTTTGTTCACAAACCTTTTTTTTTCTAAAGGTATGTCACTCGTCAGCTTTTAAAAAAAACTTTGCGAAGAACCTCTTCCTTCAAAACTATTTATCAAAAATCAATTTTATTAAAATTCAACAATGTAAATTTTTTAACATTTAATGAATAAAAAGCTCACAGAATTACAAAGAAGCAAGATTTAGGTGGGACTATTTCATGTGGTGGAAGGGTATTTAGCAGAAAATTCTGTAAATCTGCACATTTATTAAATTTAATGTATTGGAAATTTATGGCTATATATGTATATACTACAAATTGAATCCTTTCTTTAAATACATGTATTTCTCACAGGGTAGATTCAAAGGATTATAATTCATATTGTTTACCATGAAATCACTTCAATTTTTAGTTTGTGCAGCTAGTTCCCAGAGCACAACTTACGAGGTTTTATGAATCTCCGATTATTATGACGGTGTTTGCATTTACGGACGCAGCTTATAACCAACTCCCGTTCAGAGAACGCAACAAAATAGACAGCTATGATGAAACCCAGCTCAGAGATTACCTTAGGTTCTGTACAGGTAAGTTTGAAAACTGTTTTTTAAACAACATAATATTAGATTGTGAAGTTGGTAAAAGCTCGGATTTTTTTAAAGTTAACTTTTCCCCAGTTGCTCAATATTAAATTTCGAGGTAAAGAATATTCATCCTGCATATATTTCATATGCCCAAACATTAGTAAGAATCAATAGAACTAGTTGGGCAATATCTTACCTGAATCTTTGATTTTTAGTCACAGGAAGCCGTATACCCACGAAAGCTACCAAGGATATTCAGTTTGTGCAGAGCAGCAATTCGAAGCACGACCGCCTCTTTTTCAATCGCACCCAAAGAGTGAACACAGTATGTGTTTTTTAAAACACTTTTAGTATTTTATCTTCAATGTGATTAAGTTCTCAAACGTGTGTACGTAAGTATGGGCAACTTCTTAAACGAGATGAGCTTTTTACATACACTTAATTAATGAAATAGGAATATCTACAGTCTCGTTCATAGTCATTTCTGACCGTTCACGGTAGCTCAGTCGGTAGAGCGCTTGCTCCGTGATCGGGAGGTCGTGAGTTCGAATTTCGGCCGTGACTGACCTAAGTCAATAAAAAATGGGAAGCAAATGTTCCTTCGCCATGCGCTCGGCACTTTAACCTTAAAGTTGCGGGTTCTTCGGATGAGACCTTAAAAATCAAGGCCCTGTTTCAGCGGCAGGCGTGGGAACGATAAAGATCCCTCAATGCTCAATGGCCCTGAGTGCCGAGTTAAGGTCAAAATTTCCAGCCCTTCACCGACATACGATGACGTCTCCATATGAGTAAAAATTCTCGAGAGGGATGTTAAACAATACACAATCAATCAATCAATCATAGTCATTTCATTAGTCATACGGTCGATACTGTGATATAGTAAGAGTATACAATATATCATTAAGTCAAATTTAAGATTTTCCCGTTTCACCTATTATGACAATGAGCAAGGGATGCTTACTCCTCCACGACACCTGATCCAACTTCTGATGTTTTTTGAGGCCAGTATTTACTCTGCTCCCTGTCGATTTGTATTTTTGATCGGATTTTGGGCTTAAGGTCATACGACACATTCCCTCAAGTATATTTTTTTGTAATTCTTGGTTTTTATGTATATAAAAAGGTTTTCACATTTGTCATTCTCTTGTGATTTATACATTTTTAAAATTAGTTTTACCTACAAGGGTATTATAAGAAATATTACCCTGTGGCATCTAACTTAAGTGCCTGGTAAGTTACCCGTCTTTTTTTGTGAGGTAACTTGTTTCAGTATTTAAATTTCAATGTCAAATTCTCGGGAAAAATTATATATATTTTGAGCAACATGTCGACTGATCTTTAACACATTTCATTATCGATATTATTTCAATGTATTTGGAAGGCATAATGGGTAGATTATTTCATATTTTAATTTAAATGTCAAAGGCTCAAGACTCACAACCAGTTTCGAGAAGGACAACATATGATTATGAAACATGCATACCAATGGTAATTTTTTTATGAATACAAAACAACGTTTAAACACATTACGTGTTTCAGTTTTGAACTTAGATTGACTTTTCTGCTTTGTACTCAAATTCTGTAGGATGGCATTGATTTGTAAGGAGTATTGTATAGGACAAAAATGACAGTCTTAACTTCTATATCTTGTTAAAAGGGAAACAAACTACCCATTTCCCAACGAAACTGTAAGTTGAAATAACATTGGTGATGCATGTTACTAGTAATGTACACTACTAGGTAAACTGTAAGTTGAACAGACATTGGTGATACGTGTTACTAGTAATGTACACTACCAGATAAATTGTAAGTGGAACTAACATTGGTGATACCTGTGACAAGTTATACACAATACTAGTAGTGCTTTGGGAGCTGGGCCTAAGCTATATTATCAGGGTGATTGATCAGTCAATGTTAGTCAATGCAAGCTCTGTAGTAACAGATAGATTCATGCATTTGCTGGATTTGTATTATGATTGATGGTTGAACAGCTTATGTTTTACAGCAGTTCCATTCTAAATTACAAATATTAGCTGAAAAAAATAACTTTTATTCAGTACATTACCAACCAGACAAAACCTGACACCCAAGCAGTCCCAGAAAGCTGCCTTAGGACTGCTGTGGGACTGCTCTGGGACTGCTCTTAAAAGCAGACCCAGCAGTCCCAGCTGTCCCAGCTGTCCCTTGGACTGCTTTCTGGGACTGATTTGTTCACTCATGTGTGAAAAGGGTTCTGAGTGACATGATAGCTCCGCCCCCTTGTGTATTCTTGCAGACTCCCAGTTCTTTTGTTAATTAGTGGGCAGCAAAGAGGAGTTTAAACTATTAAAAAAGCAAGGAGTTCTTACAATCTTTTTATAAGAAGAGATAATCATAGTTAATATTTTCAGAGACTGTGTATTTACACAAATGTAGTTTAGATAGTTTTTTTTTTTTTTTTTTTTTAAATTGTTTAATAAGGAAACCAGGAGAAGATTTTTATCCCTAAAATAATCTACAGGTTAATGGGAAAAAATATGTACATGTGCATGTAGGCCTATTTTATTATTTAACGTAAAATTATGTGCACACAAAAGTTGCATTGGCACTTTTTAAAAATAATCATTACAGTTAGATATAAAAAAAAAATAATTAAAAAGCTTCATGTTTTACGAGTACCACACTGAAAAAGTATTCCATGCAACCTCCAAGAAAAGTATAACAATATATTAAATGACCATGAAATAGAATTATGCTACCATTTCTCCATAACTTAAAAATGTGAAACAATATGAATAATCACTGTGGAATTTATTGATGAATTACCGGTAGTTTTTAATTGATAAACAAATTTAATTATCAAAAGAGTACATTTTTTTTTATTAAAAAACAGTTGAAAATGCCGGGAATTGTCTTTTATTTCTTTTCTGTTTTGCTTGGCTTACCTGGCCGATTAATGTTTGTCAAATGGTATCAACACCCGCGGTTTCAATGGCCTACTGGCTGAAAATCAGAGCGTGTTATCTGGGTATAAGTATCAACGTTTCACATCATTGAACAGGCCTGGCCAACAATGACCCTAATTTCAATCTACCGGTATGTAATGCACAAATAAAATCGGTAATTGAAATGTGAATGATTAATTAATTTTGAATATAATCTGAGAGATCCATTCTATTGATTTACAGATGTACATTCTAACATTTACAAATAAAACACTTAAAACTTATACAACATGTCTCAGGGCACATACCTCTAAAAACTCAACAGTTAAAATTGAACACAAAGGAGAGTGATATCATATTTCTTTTAGTTATGCACCAAATCACATCAAAATGTTTAAACTTATGAAGATCAAAAATATTCATTTGTCAAGAGAATATTGAAATCTTTACTGCAAAACATCAACAAATTAAAGTTGAATCTGTCCGTGTCTTTCAAAAAAAAACAACTCAAAATATCTTAATTTTTTATAATTCTCAAGATCCAAACTGTTTAGATGCTATTTTCTCTTTAAAATTATTAAGAATTATATCTAATGTTAACAATAACACATACTTTGTTATGGTTTTCCAGAGAATTTTGACAAAACAGTCTTTTGAAGACGTAAACCCCCATTCTCGGAATATAAATTTTTTTCAATTATTCATTGCAAAAATTTTAAAAAGTCAAAATTAAATGGATGATATAGGATGTAAATCAATAAAAATAGATCTCAGTGTTGAACATTCCACTTTTCCATCAAGGCATTTTTTCTCTTTATAGACGTCACGTGGTGACGTCGTGGTGAAGTACTTCTTTTAGTATAATATCCATTGAAATCTATAGAAAGCATAAAAATAGCAACATTTTTATCCTTGACTTCTCCGATTTATAAGTGTAACATAATTATAAAAAAAGTGCTAATTCGCCGAATTCTGATCCATGTGCTGCCTTAACATACCTGCGCATATATAAGGTTGTCAAATTTAGCTTAGTAGATAAAAAATCAGATGGTTGGAAGAGGCTCAATTGCTTAGTTATACTTCCTGTATTTTCTTAGACTTCATCTTTCAAGTATTGCGTCAACGGCGTGGAGATTTCAGAGGGAGCAACCCGTGACATCACAGCTACTTATGGCTTCGTTCAGGGTCTGAATGGGGTCATGCGGAAAACAAGCCAGAAAACAGCGTACGGGTGGATCAAACATCCAGAAGACACCACACAGAGTTTTACGTATGTATTTCATAGAAAAATAAACTGCAATCACTTTTTGTCGATTAGAATTTTATTTTTGTCACATGCCATCTGCCCAACATTAAGGCTTTATCTGCATAGAGTATAAAAACATTAAACTACTTCTCTTGCTTATTTTACCCAGTTTGTACTATTTTTATTGGCTGATACATTAACACACATTATATATTTAAAAAAGATCATAGTTTCCTTACCGATAGGGGGTTGTAGATTTCTCATCTTAAGAAGGAATGTGCAAAAGGAGATAATTGCATAAAGGAATATATGATAAGAGCAAATTTTAACCCCCAAAAATATACATTTTATAGTGATGTTTAGAAATGTTTAATTGATAATCATTTTGTAGAAGACACTTTATTAGATATATTTCCAAAATTGAATTTTTAGGAAATTCCTGGATTTGATGAGCTACATATACGTGATGGACCCGATAGATGTACTTTCGTCACCATACTGGATAAACACTTTATTTGTTCCTAATGACGAAGCAATGCAAAAAATTCCTATCGCAAAGCTGAACAGACTAAAGAACGATCCCACAGAAATAGAAAAGGTAAAATACACTTGGCAGTTTCCCTAGAATTATAAAAGTCTAAAATACATTTCTTGATCCCATATAATTACAACAAATAATTAAGAAATAAGGTATCATTTTTAAACATCTATCGGGATATAAATACGGGTTGGTCACGAGATTAAATTCCATAAAGCCCGAAGGGCTTTATGATGAATTTAATCTCGTACCAACCCGTATTTATAGCCCGATAGATGTTTAAAAATAATACCTTATTACTTATATTTACATTTCTGACTTAGTCATACTTTATATTTGCCTGATTGTGACTTTTAATGTGTGAAATGCATTATTTTTCAAACTCAACGGCAAGTATGTAATCCACTGAAAGCGCGTCCACCCTTTATGACGTCACTGAGAAATTACGTCAAACGATTATCCATACGCACATCTATGACCTCTTGACCCCGTACCTGTATTTATACAGTTATAGATACGCATTCCTTTCAGTAGTGTTATATAAAGGAAAACATTTGCAAATGTAAATATGAGACACTAACACTATTCAATAGAATTACAACTAATAAATATACACTAATCAGTTCCCATAGTTCTGAAACAGATTAGTATGGTGTCTGTCCTGAGGGGATTCCTAGGAAAAATTCGTGAAAAATTAAAACAATAAAAAATTATTTATTATTTGAGTAAAAACCAAATTTTTTGCAAAAATGTTAGTAAATATAAAAAAAATAATGTTGATAGCCAAACCATTAAATATACACCAAATCACAATTTCATATTGTTCCACTAAATTGGGGCAAATGGAAGTTTAATTGACTTGGTATGGATACCAATGTACTGAATAATTAGCAGTCGATATAATAGTCGATCTCAGCGTATTATTTGATTTTTAACAGGGGAATTGCTTCTGGTGAAACCTCAAGGTCCATCATCAATATTTAACATCTGCATATCTGGGCAAAATTGAGTAGGCAATGCATATTGCGAAATAGGTTTTAAAGCAAGAAGATTTTATGGGGATTTGTCATGAGACTTGACATTTGCCAACCAAATTGTATCGAAAAAAAATAGTGTTTTATATATTTTTATTCCAATCAGACAAATGTTCAGTTCACAAAAAATCAATAATAAGAGATACTTTAGCAATTTTATACAGTGTACATTATAGCTTCTACAGATAATTGTTATAAAATGACTGTCACTACTATTTTTATGCTACTGGATACTCAAAGACTTCAACATTATTCTATTTTAAAACATTTTTTCATTATTGAAATTGTATGAAAGACTTAGATTTCAAATAGATATATAACAATTGGTTTAACATTTTAAAATTTAGATTCTTAAAGCACACTACGTACCCAATAGAGTCATCTTTACCAACTGCATCTCTAACAATGAAGGATTTACCAATGCTCAAGGTCAACAATTGACTTTTCCGAACTCCTCTGATAACAATGGTAAGTTTCAGTTTCCTAGGGGTAAAGGCTGTTGCTAGAGGGGTACAGAGCGTTGTAGGTATAAGAGGTGAATGTTACTCATGTACATGTATCATCTTATCCCTTTTATTGCATTACATAGTTTGCTTTTTCGAAATTTATTGATTATTTAAATAGCTTCAAACATAATAGAAATTTCATCTTTATTATCTAATTTTAAGAAAGTTTAGATCAACACGGTACCAAATGTACCAATCGCATTTTTTGTATTTCTGTTTATTTACAGTAATTTTTTTAATAAAGAGAACTAATATAACTCAACTTTTTAAATCAATTTACAGTAAAGGAAATGTATATTTAAGTCTAACAGATGAATATTTTTGCTTCCGATCGTTATAATCATAATTCTTTTAATATTTTGCAATATATTGTAGAGCCACGCAGAATGAAAACCAACTCTTACGAGGCATCTTTTAACCTACTCACATGCATCAATTGTTGAAATAGCAACATTAGGGCAGTTGGTCAGTTAGCTGCAATAATGTAGCCCTCTCCGATTTTTTTTTCTTTTCGGAGAGCGCTACAACTCCTTAGGATCTCCGTAATGGTGCAAATGCAGCAGTGAATCGCTCCCGCACGGATTTCGGCTCAAATCATCAGTAAACGGCTATTTTATTAACATCTCTTACCTGGACTCCAAAAAAGTAATTATGCAAGACAAAAATCGATCCAAAAATATTCACAACGACCCATATATCGGTTATTTTTCGTGTATGTCAACATCACAACTTGAATTTATCCGCCATGTTTACTGACCTGATTTTATTTTGGGACAACCAATGAGAATTTAGAATCTATAGCAGCGGATCCTTAAGGAATTCCCTTATCTTAAGCATACATATCGCTGTTTCCGTAAAAATAACACTTGAAATGGGTTTATTTATCGATGTTTTTGTGATACATTTCAGCACAGTGGTTCATAAACATCGACATTTCCTTTTTTAGTTGTTCAAAATTTCAAGCGAAAGTCTCAGTACGTCACGCGTGAACTGTCATGGCTGCTGCTGGTAAAAATACAGATGTATTTTACATGGTTTTCGAGTTTAGCGGGCTATGTTGTTGACAGTGAATAAAAATTCCGTCTTATAAGAAGTAAGTTGAATGTAAAAATAATTTATTTTGCCTTCAATCGCCCGTATTTAAAAAATAGATTTGCACCATTACGGAGATGCGATGGAATTGTAGCCCTCTCCAGAAAACATCAGATAAAAAAAATCGGAGAGGGCTACATTATTGCAGCTATTGGTCAGTGTGCATCTCTTTTTTTATAACGATAATAAGTAAAAATGATTTTATTCTGATTTCAGTGTATGTTCACAGTGACGGTGTGAGTGCGGCCATTGTTGAGGGAAATATCCCCGTGTCTAACGGAGTGGTTCACGTGGTCGATCAGCTGTTAGGATCTGTTTGAACTTTGCATGAAAGCATTGCTTGAATAAAGAAAAGAGAATTATAAGAATGTATTTTATTACTTTGTTCACAAACATTTGTTTCATCTTAAGGTATGTCACTCGTCAGCTTTTAAGAAAAGTTTGCGCAGAACTTCTTCCTTCAAAACTATTTATTAAAATTCAATTTTTATAGCATAAAAATTCAACAATGTAATTTTTAAAACATTTAATGAAAAAAAAAACTGCTCAAAAATTTACAAAGAAGCAAGATTTAGGTGGGACTATTTCTTGTAGTGTAAGGGTATTTACATATGTAGCAGAAAATTCTGTAAATCTGAACATTTATGAAATTTAATGTATTGGAAATTTAGCCTCACGTACTTTTACTCGGGGAATATATTCTGTAATGATATTGCTAAGAAGGTTTAATATAGGTATTAATTTATATTTTTTGAACAAGTATTACACCTTCCCTCAATAAACTTTGCCAAAAATGAAGACGTTTTAATGAAGTCAAGATAAGATTTACACCATTTCTTGCCTGAAAATCACACAATTTGACCATTATTTTAAAATTAACATCACTGACCCCAATTTTTTTTTCATAATATTAATCTACACGATACCTGTGACTGATCAGCACTTAAGTCGTAGAAAGTTTGATATAAGAAAATATTTTATTGCCTATCAAGTATTTTAATACCCCAGATATGGTACTTTATAGTGCAAAAAGGTCACACAATAATTTACACGCATGGATTTTTTTCAATTAAAAATAATATTCATACTTTTTCACGTAAAATCAGATTGTATTTATTGCCATTGCTACATCTGATAAAATTTAATAATGGTTTAAGTAATTAACCAAAGAAGTAAAATTTAATTGCGAAAAGGTCAATTTAAATGTACCGTAGATCACTTGGATGCATACAGACCCCACTATTTTCTTTGCGATTTAGAGTAACACTATATGAGTACTGTGGTAATAATTTTGAATCAATTTTGTTTATTATCATTAAAACATTGTCAATTTAAGTTAATTGCAATTGAAATCTGAATGAAAAGACATTAACTTTAATTTCGGATGCAATTGTGCAATCATTTAATGACAGGGGGCTTCTTTATGTTATAAAACAGATAGGCTCTGAGCGGGGAATGTGTAAATAGGTTGATCCTTGGCATAAGATAATCAAATATAACTATATATATATATATATATATACAAAATTGAATCCTTTCTTAAAATACATGTCCTTCTCACAGGGTAGATTCAAAGGATACATACGGTAATACATATTGTTTACCATAAGATCACTTCATTTTTAGTTTGCACAGCTTGTTACTAGACCACAAATTACGAGGTTTTATGAATCCCCGATCATTATGACGGTTTTGTATATACGGATGCTGCAAAACAAAATCTTGTACAAAGAACGCAACAAAATAGACAGCTTTAATGAAAACCAGCTCATAGATTACCTCATATTCTGTACAAGTAAGTTTTAAACGGTTTTCTTAAACAACATAGTCTTTGTTCGTAAAGTGGGGAAAAGCCCGGTTTTTGTTAAAGTTAACCTTTTCCCGGTTGCTCTTTATGTTTTTAGTCGCAAAAAGCCTCATACCCACGGCAGATATCTAGGGCAATCAGTATATGTGGAGCAGCAATTCTAAGCACGACCACCTTTTTTTTCAATCGCCTCCAAAGAATGAATACGGTCAGTGAATTTTAAAAACACTATTATGTTTTTATGTTTAATGTGATTCAGTTTTTAAACTTGTATACATCAGTATGTGCAACTTCTTAAACCAGGTAAGCTATTAACATACAATTAATGAAATAGAAATATCATCAGTCTGGTTTATAGTCATTTCGTAAGTCATACGGTCGATACAGTGATATGGTAAAGAAACACAATTTGTAATTCTTTGTTTAATATAAAAAAAGTTTGCAAACTTGTCATTCTCTTGTTATTTATACATTTATTAAATATACTTTTACCTATAAGGGTAATATAAGAAATATTACCCTGTGGTATCTAACTTAAATGCCTGGTAAGATACCCGACTTTTTGTGAGGTAACTTGTTTCAGTATCAAAATTTCAATGTCAAATACTCGGGAAAAACTATACATATTGTGAGGAACATGTTGTCTGATCTTTAACACATTTTATTATCGATATTATTTCAATGTAATTGCAAGACATAGTGGGTAGAGTATTACATATTTTGATTTAAATGTCGAAGGCTCAAGACTCGTTACCGGTTTCACGAAGGACATAATATGATTATGAAGCATGCACACCAATGATGAATTTTTTTATGAATAGAAAACAGCGGTTTTTTTTCCCTTTACATTCGCATTACTATCTTTTATGAGCTTACTTATATAGAACTTTACTCTAGAAGGACGCACGGTTTCCCAAAATTGAACCGTTCCAAAAGGGCTCAAGAAATTACACTAAGAATGCTCCCAGTTTTCTATTACAGAGTAAAACAATGGTACATTCGCCGAGTTTTAGCATCAATTTCCAAGTCAAAATTTGCATTAAAAGTTTTATTTAGTTCATTTATTGTGTCTAAAAGTCTTCCTTAGGTGGATAAAAAAAGTTTCTTATTGGAAAATACATCCTTAATGAGTTTTGATAGTAGCTGGCAATTATTATTAAATAAAAATGTCTTTGTATTTTTGCGTTTTCCAAATCACGATAAAGAGAGTCGCCGGATGTGATGGATCGACAAGAATGCGTACTTCTCCGTTGTTTCTGATCCCATCGCTGATACTTTTACACTTCTGTGTTCAATCTGCTCTAAATTAGTTTGTGTTAATGGATTTTGAGATTGATTACTTCCTATGTCATCAATTTCTTGGAATTTCCCCAAGGGAATTTATTCATAATCGTTTACATGAGAAAAAAGAAAATACTTCTTGTTGCCTTCAACTCAACATTTAGATATATGTTTTTAATCAACAATAGTTATTTCAATTCTTAGGTCAATACGATATGTTCCTGAGTTTGAAGTAAAAGATTCCAGAGTCTAACACATCTGTTTCATATTAAATATTTTACAAGATAAAGGTGTTGCAGGTAATCTTACAAAAAAGTCAATGAACACCGTTATTTATGTGGCAATATTCCCTTATCAACTGCAATATGGGGTTTATATTTCTCATTTCATATGATATGCAAGAGCATAATTTATCCATGGACTATTTTTAAAACAGGTGAGTTTTTGACAGACAAGTCGAATATAAAGAAATCACTAGTCTTGCTTGAATTCATCATTTCGCAAGATCTATAGTTTTGTATTGTTTTATAGACTTTGATATTGAATACTGTTCGTTATTTCAATATACTTCATTCTACAAAAGAAGTGAATCGCTCTTTTTGCTCAAAATGTCACTTGTAAAGGTATCTTTGGGTTTTTTCCGTGGATTGTTCCATTGTATGAATGGGTGTGTTAACTTCCAACTTTTAAAAAAAGTCTTTTTTTCTCCCTGTTAATTTCCTTATTATGCTAATTTTATCTTCTGATTTTATCTCATTAGTTTTAACAACATGTCGTATATATCAGTATATGTAATACTAGAGCGATGTTTTTTTCTAATTTGACTCCCGATCCCGCTGTTGATTTTATAAATTAATGGACTAGTCTAATGATAATAAACAAAACAGTTCAAAACGTCATGGTGCTGATCTATTATATGCCTCTGTTCAGATATACACAATAAATAAGACACCAGTGTTAAATTTTGAATTTTTCTTTTCAAAAATGCCTTTATATTGAATAAATTTTCAATATATGGTAGAAGCACTAACATTCCTCCCTCTATAAGAAAACAGATATTTGAACACACATTTCTACTGTTTTCTTCAGTGAAGAAAATACGCTTCAACAAAATTTGTTTTGTTTATATCAATTTTTTCAAAATTGTTTACAATGCATGATTTCATAACAGATTTTATAATAGGTGTTACAATGTCATTTCAAATCAATTTAGATCCAAGGGAAAATCTTTATCAGCTATTGGACAAACATCATAGATAAAAACTGTGTATAGGATAATTTTATATCTTGCTTGTCGGCTGATGTGGCAATCACGTAGTATTAGCAAATATATGCCTGTTGTATTGAGGACATCTATAAATTTTAAGATTGCAGGTCCATTATACATGAATTTAGAGGTAAAAAAATGTTAATGTTTTCAGCATTTTCGTAATGATTTTTTCATGTTGCAAACCAAGGCGAATTGGTTGTTGAAATCACCTTAAATCCACGCATTGATTTTTCCTTTACTTTTAAAATCTGTTTACGTTTCGTGACGTCATAATTCATTTACTTGACAGAAACGTGTTACATTTTGTGTAATGTAATGTACCTTGGTACTTTTGTAATCACTATTACTATTCGAGTTATGTAGTGCGTTAGTGTGTTTGTATAAGAACAGTATGCATGATGTTTCAGATGGACGAAGAGATTACAACTTTTGTCGAGAAACTGGAATCTTTTTGTGAATGTACCATATGCTTTAACACTTACGATTAAGATTCACAAGTACCACGATTATTACCTTGCAATCATGCATTCTGCACTGACTATCTTCTGAAACATTGCTTGAACCAGCCAGAAAATAATTTGTCCTCTTTACAACCAAACGCATGATATAATTAATAAGGGCATTCTGGCTTTTCCAAAGGACAACTTGCGTCGTGAAATATGAGATTTAGTTACCAATTTTGCCTCAAAGTTGTTGTGCTCAGACTGTCAGAAATATGATAGCAAAAGTCTACTCTGTATAGACTGTAACATTCGAATATGCGGTTTATGCTCCATTGATAGAAAGAAAAGTGCCTGTCAAACCCACGATATTAAAGGTAGCAGCGATTCTCTAGAGCCACTGCATGACTCGGCAGAAAACAATATTTCTTCTCAAGTTTGCGTTTTAGAATGGCCATGAAAGAAATCAGCTCATTTTTTACTGTACGGATAAAACATGTTGCAAACCTGTCTGTCTCATTTGCATATCTCAGCTTCATATGAATCATACTTTTAAAACCATTCACGATGTATACTTAATTCGGAAAAGAAA